AATAATCACGAATTCGATATTCTCGTGATTTTTCAGCAACATAACCCTAATTAATGTTAAGGGATTTTACACATAAGTGAAGGAAAAACGTGCTGCTATACGAAAGAAGTGGGCGAAATATACAACAGAAAACTGAAAATTAAATTTTGAAACACAATCTAAAATCATATAACCAAACTGCAGTATAAATACAATCTTTCTTTCCATATGCTCATTGCCTAGTACATTTCAGACCCATCATATTTTTAATAATTCATTAGAAATTGTTCAAGATAGGCAGAGGTGGTGTAGGCTCATTAAGACGACAAAAGATCTACAGGGTCTGTAGTGACAATAGAAAAAAAAGTTACATTCATTGTAATTGTATCATTTAGGAAAAATCGGACGAGTAGTTTTTGAGATAGAGGTCAATCAAGTCAAATACGTTTGCACATATGTAAGAGGAAGTATTTCGCATAATCTGTATGGATTTCAGAAAAAAGCGGATTAATAGTATTAAGTGATATGCTCCTCCCGTGGATTTGACTAACGATAAGATTCCATATTTGTTTCTTGGTGTCCAAAACGTAAAACCCGAGAGAGATATTCTGGTTACCTTATGCACTATCGTCCTTGGGGAAGGATGATGGACTCATAATTCTAACCATTAAAATTTTTACCTCACAAAGGCTATATTTTTTTTTTTTTTTTACTTTACAGATCTTGTCGATCTTTTGCAGCCTTTTTTTTTTTTTATTGGATAACTTCCTACCCACTATTTATGGCATAGGTGAGAGGGTATTCTAGATGTACAACCAAAAATATTCTAACCAGACTGGGAGGGTCGAGTTTCATACGGTAGGTCCTCCAGGAAATAAAAGTCAACTACTCCTAGGCCGGATCGAACCAGCGTCGCTAGCGCTAGGTAAGAGGATGCTAAAACGGGCTACGCTCCAACATACTTAACCATCCTTATCTATTCCGTACCAGTTATGTAAATGCAGCTCTATAGCATTTTTGTTTATTTGATCTACCCATCTACTTTCTGGCTTCCTACGTGGTCGTTTGGTTGGCTACTGTTGAGGCATTCAATGTTTTGTTAAGGATTCTCCTGATCGCTCCAAACTTCATGTTCTACCCATCTGAACCTCCATGCCTGAATATTGATTAACCATTTATTTCTGTAAACAGTTCTTTATTGGTCTTTCTTGTCCATAGGCGCTTCGTTCTTTGGTTAATTTTAGACTGTTGGTCATTCCATGAGGTAATTGTGGAGTATTTGTCTACTCTCGAGAACGATTACCCTTCTACGCAAATCGTGTTGGGGTGGAGTTTTCGGATTCTAAAGGTATAATTAATGAAGTTAATTATATTAAGTACTCATACTTAATATCAGAACTGAGATTAAAATGCAAAAATAAAAATGATTTATTGCTGGGATTTCACATATTACATCTAAGATCTCTTAAAAAAATTCTAATCACTTAATTTTATTAACTATCTATGAAATAACAATTAATTCATATCTAAAATGTTGTGATTGTTAGAAGAGGCCCAGAGATAAGAACAGCTTTATAAGACATTGGCTCTAACACCTTTGGCACTTTCAGGTTCAACATGAAGGCATTTCTAGCTCTCTTCCTTTTTGTGGCCGTTTCATCGGCTGCTGAACTTTACGGTAAGCTCTTCAGTGAATATAAATTTTTCATTTTATTATTCCTTTATTGATATTTATGATTTTGTTTGGCTTCAAAATTTAATCATAATCCAATTTTGATAGTTTACAACTAAATGAATAAATTACAATGATTAAATCTATTATAAAACTATAAAACATGACAGTAGCTTCAAAAAACACTACCCAATAGTAGCACTTCCATTATTACTTTAATTTAGGAGGTCACTTGGCCATCTTCTTTTTAAATGCCTTAGAGAATTGTCTGGAATAGTTTTGTATAAAAGGTTGTGACCTAGAGAGTTTGGGTGACATGGGATATAGTTATTCATCAGAACTGCAGCAAATGGAATATTGAGATCTTTATGGATGATTTTATTTGTAAACATTAAGGATTCTTTGTAAGGTTTTGGATTTTAGGGATTGGGCACGGGAAGTATTCGATGATTTTGTGAACGACAGAAGCTCAATTACCAAATGTTCCTCTTAATAATATTTGCGTATATAGAGAGCGTTTGTCAAGAAGTACTGTAGCAATCGAAATCTACGAACAGTTTCTTTTCGCTTTAGTTTCGTATGAGGATTATAAACAAGGTTCTTGTCAAAATAGAGTCATTGGAAATGCTGGCCTTAGACATTAGGCGCCCCTGGAAAATAACATCATCTTTTCCAAAATTAAATTTATTTCTTAAACTCTTTTATATTAAGTTCAATTCGAATTTTACTTCATTCAATATTCCTCTAATTCTGCAGTTTTATAAATAGAATAAAATTAATTATTCTTAATATTTTTTTTTTATAATTTAAAGAATACCGTAGAAAAGGATTTTGTAGTTTTAGAAAGAAGGGTAAATGTGATAGGAAGAGATTTATTTATATTCTAGATGTTTAACACCATACTTCTATGGCTGTGATGAGTAGCTGCAAGAATTAACGGGCTGCAGTTGGATCAATATTAACAGATAACACACATGAGTCAAAATAGATATATTCGTTTAAAAATAACTTTTTTAGTTTGAAATAATTTTTTATTTATTAAAAATAATACTCAAAAATAATTTTACCCTTTGTCCCAAATTATCTGATCTTCTGCATAAACATAATAGCATTTAACAAGTAAAATAATAGGTTAATATAATATTCAGCTACCGTTAAACTATATATATGCCATGAAACTAATAATGAAGCTGATTATTAATTTAAATAAACTGTTATTTTAACATAGTATTTAAAATACTATTTTACTTTATTATAAAAAGCATGGGATTAATAGTGACTTATAATTTTTTTTTAGAGGTGAGACTTCTAGGTAATCACCTTGAAGATCTTGTCACTGAGACCCTCGAATATGTAAGGTTCTTGATGAAAAAACATAACCCCTATGTTTTACCAAGCATGCCAGATCAACACCTTCAAGACACAGACGTTGAGTAAGTTGCCATTGACTTATTGATATTGATAGATTACTATCGATCTATCTAAAGCATTTAGATTAAACTAAAATAAAATATTCAATTTCAGCTTAGTACTGTCAGCTAGTAACATGGGAGTCTCCGAAGCTTCTGATTTCACAATCGATAGCATCAAAGTGAACCCTCTTACCTTGAAAGCTAGCTTCCAGGTGACCATCCCCAAAGGCCACGTCGCAGGAAACTACAAGATCTCTGGAACTGGATGGAACAAGAAAGTTGAAGGATCCGGTTCAATCACGTAAGTAAACTTTTATAAATATTAAATATAGCCAACTATACCAGTGATTACAGAATAAATTTTTTTTTTATTATTCAAGAGAAAGTGACTCAACCGATTTAGACGAAACTTTTATCCATTGCTATATGAGTCATTATAAAAAACGACTAAGATGTGTTCTTTAGACCACATAATAAAAGTGAAGACCTTAACAATGCGAGATTAATAATATGAAATATAGATCATAAATTATAGCTCATTGTAAAAATTATGAAATGCTCAACATTTCCTTCGTTTACAGTGTGCAGGTTCGATTTTTAGTTTCTGGGACATTTAAATCCATGTCTTCTATAAAACTCGTTATCAATTTTATTTTCGACACCATTTTTCCCTTTTCGCATCTCTAACACGGCATCGAATTAAGATAAAATTTTAAATAATTGCTCATTAAGAAGAAGATGAAATGCTAACCGATTCCCTCGCTGACAGTCGATTTTTAGTTTCTGAGATATTTTAATCCATATGCAAAACCACCACGACTCCAGCTGACTTTACCCGAACGTTACAAATCGAAGATCTGACAGCTCAATCTAATTCGCTATCCACAAAAAGAGGGAATTACGCGTCTAATTATCACTATAAAAATATACATTCTCTGCCCTATTTAAAAATTCATAGCTCTTTCAACTTTTTTAGCTGTTTAGAATGACTATAAACATGATGAAAAATAATCTTTTTTGTTGCCTACATGTAATTGTAATAAAAAGTAAATCTCATGAACACCATGGCAGGTTTGAAAATAAAGTAAAAAATTTGTTTTTTCTGTTTTTCAAAACAGTCTGAAACGATTAAAACGAAACTTATCCATTTTTTTATGGATGATTGAAAAGAAAAACTCTGAATCTTTGTTGTATCTTAGTTGCCAGCTTAAAATAAATATAAACAAGATACAATATTATTGAAAAAAATAATCTAAAATCTACATCTCTCTAAAAGAGTATGTTTGACATCTAGAAAAACGCCGTACATTATTTAATACTCTCTAATTACATTATACGAACAGATTTTGCTCATTTGGTCACTAGTTTTCTTTTTTAATATAAATATTTTTTTAATATTTTAGTATGCTGCACTTCTAAACTATAGGTATTTTATTTATTATAAAGGGGTTAAAATTACATTTTTGAATAACTCAAGAAGTATACAATTTTTGTCAATGTTGTATATGTTATTTAAAAGTTTAGGAGTTTTACTAGAAACAACAAAAAAAATCGTTGAAATTGGACAATTTAAAGCAAAGATATGGTTTTATACGTCCTACTGCAATGTTCATATGTTTTGTTTTGGTTTTTGATTTTTTGAATGTTTTACATCAACTGTAGAAATTTTGTCTATTTTTAAATTATCAATGATAAACAAAAATAAAAAATATAAAGGCCAATGTTAGGAATACCTTTTCATTTATTTTCCTTAATGTATCATGAAAAGTAATCTTAATTTTGATGATAAATTGTTTGGTAATAATGAATAATTGTGTAATAATTTGCATCTTTTTTTTTTTTTTATGATGGCTTACTAAAGTGTAAAAGTAATAAGATCGAGACTAGGCTTTATTTATTCTTTTCTATATTAACATGAAATAATTATGTTTCGACAGTGGAGATCTTACAAGCTTCGTCCAGTCTGGAAACCTACAACTTGGAGTAGTTGACCACTCTATCCAAGTCAAAGAACTGAACCTTGACTACAGCATCGGAGACTTGAAGGTAAAAAAAAAAAGTTTTTTAAATTAGACTTTATTATCGTATTACATACACAATAAACGATATAATATGGATTAGCGAACCCGGTGGTTCGATGCCGATACTAACAATCGCTATCTGCATTCTGAATCTTTTTTTGCTAAACCTTGCAATTTTAGATACCTATCATAATCGCTGCAACGTATTTACCTTAATTATATTAACAGAGTACAATTTGTAGGCGGGATGACCCAGTGGGCTAACGCGTGTGCAAAACACACGTTGCCGGGAAAGATGATAAATAATTACGAGGTCGCGTCCCAGAGTCGAGGGAAAAGAGGGGTTTATTTTAACATTTATCCCCGGCGATAAAAAGAAGAAAAAGAAACAAAAAAAAAAATGTTGGTGGAATTCGGCATTTAAATTCTACCGTCTAAATTTTCCTCTTGTCTCATCTTTCTTTGCCCCGAATATTATACACATTACTTTATTTTAAAAAATCTTAATCCTCAAGGTAGTATCCTTGGTTCTATCCTTTACACAGTCTACGGTCCTATCACATATCACAAATCTTGAAGAATGGTGTAAAAACTGGAGAATTAAAATAAATTCCAATAAACCCCATCAAATTACTTTTACCCTGCATCACAAACCCATGACCTCCTGTCCTACAGTATCCTTTAATAATTCCCCACTTATCCCAGTTGATCAAATCCGTTACCTAGGACTCCACCTGGACAAACGACTCGCATGGAATCCTCATACAAGACTGAAACAACAAGAAACTGTTCGACGTTTTCGACTATTCCAAAACTTACTAAACAAACGCTCTAAGCTTTCAATCAATTACAAACGACTCATATATATGACAATAATAAGACATATTTGGACTTACGGAATTGAGCTTTGGGGCTCCACCAAACCATCGAATTCCTCTCGTATCCAATCCTTACAATCCAAAATCCTTCGTAAAATCCTCAACGCTCCTTACTTTGTCACAAATAAAATCATCCATAAAGAGCTTAATGTTCCATATTTTTCCGATTTGTACCCAATCCAGATACCTATCCTTCCATCCAAACCCTCTCATTTCAAACCTTGCTTCCTCCTCGATCCCTGATAACCCTCCGAGGCGTCTGAAAAGAAGATGGCCTCGTGATCTGCTTATGTAAATATATTATTAGAGTGCTACCAATGGGTAGTTTCTCAACAAGCGTTTCCATGTGATTGCATTATTATTGTGTGCACATTTATTAGTTGTATTTTTTTATAATGTAGTTGTAAATATTTAAAAAAATAAAAATCTTAAGACGATGCTTATATCTTAATATAAACGGCCACGTTTAGCATCCATAAAGAACTTTAGGAAGAATAATGGTTTCGTAATTCCTTTCATATTTAAAATACCATAATTTCGGATCTTTACCAGCTTTCATCAACGCTGTTTTATTTAGTTTTATAGCTTCCGTGTCTTCGCTTAACAGTATCAAATTATCAGCATATCCAAGCACGGATATTGTTCCATTTAGAACCAAACATTTTTTTTAATGTATTTGATATTCAAGCGAATAAAACAACGAAAAACAAAAGCTGTTGTACTCTCGTTAGCGACATCTTTTTTTTTGTGAAAATATTGGAAGGCATTTTTTTATATTGATACCTTATTTATATTGACATATACTAACATCAATTCCTCGATGCACGCAGTTGGCCGTGGACGGACTCAGCATCGAAGGGATGACCAAGGAGCAAGTGAACGACCTCCTCAACTCGAAGCTGCTCGACCACCTGAAGAACAACAAGGCCTTCGTGGTCGAACACACCTCCGCCCACGTCATGAAGGTCGCCAACAAGATCCTCCACGGGCACACCTTGGCCGAGGTCATCGCTTTCGTCGAGAAGCTGGTCGCCTCCACCCCGGACCCCCCACCATTCACCTTCGCCCCCTAGATTCGGCCTAATCAATGTCTGATTTAAAAAAAAAATAAATTGATTTATCTATAATAACTCTGTTTAATGAATTCATCCAAGATTAGTGTGAAGAATATAGTTGTATATATTATCTATATGGAGTGAACTCATGAGGCAAGAAATTGATACTTAAATTTTTTTCCCCCTTAAACTTAAAGTTATTTAAAAATACACTGACAGGCAAAAAATTCCACCAACTAGATTTTTCCATGTTTTCATCTAAACATATTTCTGTAAAGTTGTATTTGTAGATAATACTTAGTATTTATGGAATTTAATAATCTTTTTTACCTTTAATAATCAAAATGTGATTGGGTAAGAAAGATTAGAGAAAAAAAAATTGAAAAACTAACCATTATTATTCTAAGAGAAATTAATAAACATCATCGTTTAGTAGCTCGTGTTTCCTCCTCTTGTCTTCACTACTTCTTGAAGACGCCTCGGCATACTTTCCACCAGTCGGGAAATGTCCCTTTGCTGGAGGATAGCCCATTCCTTCCGAAGAGCCCTTTCAAGGTCCTGCAGTGTATCAGGCTCTTATTCGTCTTCCGAGGTTATCCCATGAATGCTCAATGGGGTTCAAATCTGGAGAACGTGCTGGCCAGGCTAAAACCCTTAATATTGTTCTGTTGAAGGAACGTCTGCACTATGCGGGCGACATGTGGGCGTGCATTAGAATAGAACGATTGCCGGTTTCGTTGAGGATAGGCAACACATGAGGTTCCAAAATCTCATCTACAAAGCGAATGACCGTCAAAGACACTCCACGAACAACAACCAATTCTGTGCGGCACTCCATTGAAATCCCAGCCCACACCATTAAGGAACCACGTTGGAAAGGTTGGCTCTGGGAAAAATTACAGGCTGCATATCTTTCGTTTCTTCTTCTCCACACCCTTTCACGCCCGTCTGGAGATAGAAAAGCGAATCTTGACTCATCTGTAAAAAGTACAGCACTTCATTCGTCCATAGTCCAATGGCTGTGTTCTCGCGCAAAAGATAACCGTGTTACTCTGTGAGTTCTGGTCAACTCTGGTCCTCTTACTGGACGAAAACCCATTAATCCATACCCATTTAATCTTCTCCGAGCGGCACGTTCAGAAATTTGCACACCTCGAACTTCTTCGAGCTGATGAATCGATTGAACCGATTGAACGAAACCGGCACGGTAAGGTGCCGGTTTCGTAAAATTCTCAAAGTCAAAAACCGGTCATCCCGTGGTTCTGTTACCCTAGGCTGTCCAGAACCGGGCCTTCTATTGTAAGAACCAGTTTTCCCAAAACGCCTGACGGCGTCTCGTAAAGTTTCATATGGAACTCCGATGGCATTAACTGCATATTTAATGGAACGTCCATCATCAATAAGTGCCACACCATGCTTAACATCCTCAGCACTAAGAGGCATTTTTAAACTTAATATTGAAAAAATTAAAAGCCGGAGACTAAGAAATGTGCTGCAAGAAACGGCACTGAACTAATGATACTGAATAAACATTTTGATTCCATAGAAAGTAAACATTGGAATCTAGAATCATTTATTGAATTAAGGATTAAGGGTTATTGTGCTCTATATTAACATTCCTAATTGAAATCAAACAAAAAGATTAAGTATTTATTCATTAAAAACAATATACCAATCCAAAGCAGAAACATTTTTAGATGAAAAAATCAAGTGGGTGGAATTTTTTGCCTGTTAGTGTATATACATACATTAAAACATGAAATTGTAATCTAATTTATTGGGGGAAAAAATCGTTGAAAACTATTAGTGATAGCTTTTATTGAAAAAAAAAATGGCTGATTTTCAACAAAAAGGTAACGCGCAAATAAATATACATAGTTAAACAAATATTTTTCTATTAACTGATTTAATATGTTTTTTTTTTTTTGCATGAACTTACATATTTTTAACATAGGTGACGCTCTTAATTATTTTTATTTTCATTTACTTGTTGAGGATGTTCATAATTTGATAAAAAGGGGTCTCTACCACGGACTGTAAGCACCAGCGGATCCAGGATTTGATTTTTTTTTGGGGGGGGGGGGGGTAGAGGCTTCAGCCCGAAAGATTTTTTTTTCGTGTATGTAACGATAATTAATTTGCAAAAAAATATACTAACTACCTATATGAAATGGTGTTAAAATCATTCTTGAAATCCTGTTAAATGTAATAACATGAACAATAAATTTTAAGAGATAACGTTTTAATATTTTTTTTTTCATAAAACATGGTTGTTATTTTACCATTTGGGATGGAGGGGGGCTTCAGCCCAAAATTCTCTCCATAAATTCGCCTGTGACTGTAAGAAATCGTTCTTGATTCTTGTCAACACTGTTATTTTTACTTATGAAGTTATTATTGAATAAAAAAAGGACCCAAATCGAAAACGAATAGAATGTTATTCTATGACTTATTTATTTGTTTTGTGACTTTTCTTTTTTTATAGCTCCCAAGAACTTTTGTTTCTTTCTGTAAGTAGTAAAACAGGAGCAACTTATTGCAGCAATTAAAAAAAATAAAAATAAACATAAATATTAGAAAAAAGTATCTTGATTTACTTCGAACAGTATAATTCAGTTTGTGTATGATTGATTTGTATAAGTGTATAAGTTAAACTTACCCTAAAAATCAGGAAGTTCTTATGTGTTTCTCTTTTTTTTGTGGTTAATTTATAACTCTCCTTGATTTATATAGACACAATTAAAAACATAACTAAACGGCCCCAACGAAATTTACCCGAACAAATAAATTAACACTACAATTATAAACAATTTTATAAACAAATATTACGGTAAAACCACGGATAGAAATGTTTGCACAATGCTATGATTTACCAACGTTTGCAGTATCAGTTCCTGAGAAGAGATAGCGCTAGTTGATCAACGACTTAATTACGTTATTGTATGATTATATATTTCTAATAATGGGCATATATTTTAAAGTTATATAAATTACCGTTATTTGTATCTCCATATAAAAATTGTTTCTTCACTAAATATCAGTCTTAATAAAATTAATAAAATATATTTCAATTTGTTAAACATTTCATAACTGTTGCGTGCCCGCGAAAGTCTTTCTGATCTTTATTTATTCTGTAACTATAAGTTTATAACAAGCAAATAGTCATACAAATTGCCTCTTTTATATAAATAGTAATTACTTTATGTTAATTGAGATACATCTTGAATTATTAAATAGACTTTCAAATAATGTCATTAATTAAAGTTGGTTTATAGAGATTCTCACACAACAGGTAATTACCTCATTTGATTAATAAAACAATAACTACTAAATTATTTATTTATCAATGTGTATAAAACCACTCAACAATATGTATCTATTTTTTTAGTTCTAAACAGTTCGAATCAACATCATGACAATTGAATAACTTTTTACTTCAGCTTTAATCTATCATGCCTTAGATTTAATGGAAAACCATTTTTTGAAAAGGATGGATAATGTTGTACTATATATTCGGATAAAGAAGTCATTTTTAGGTAAGTCATGCAGCTTAGCTATTGATAAAATTTAGCTACTTATTAGAATTTATTTTAATTTTGTACTCCATTGATTATTTTCATCTTTGTCATAGAAAGTCATTATCTAAATGTGAGTTTAAATAAACTCTTAAAAAAATGGATATAACATCAAAATATATTATATTAGCCTAGTGAATTAGGAAATATTTTTGTAGATATCTTATAAAATAAAATATGCTTCTCAAACTTTTAATTGTAACATACATACATACATTTTTGTCAATACAATACTTATCTTCAATTAAATAGCCTCAGCTTATAACATAAATAATGATATAATTACAAATACGGGCGAAATAGTGATTAATACAGACATATACTTGTTCCTAGAAGGTAGTTTTACCCATTTAAAGAATAGTATATGTACAGAAGTTATGTTGCTTGGTTTTTGTGAAGTGTTTCTGTTTGATTTTGAAAAATAAATAATATTTTTTTCCATAAACAAGAAATAAGGCAAAATAAAGTATTATGGAGTCGTTATTGTAATATATCCAATAACATTTCAGCTCATCAATTCAAAAATAGTTTAAATAGTTTGATATAAAAGCATGTATTTAATACTTCTAGTAATAAATGAACTGTTTTGTAATTGAGAAGCCATCCAGTTCACTGGTACGGACATGACATTCTTACGTAAAGCTACATAAAAGCAAAGTGATACTATGTCAGGAACAAAAGAATTAGGGAGAAACTATAGATGCTATAATAAATGGTTTTGAAACATTTGTTTAATGGATGAAATAAGAAAATCTAGAATGACAATGGTATACCTATACCTATAGGTAAAAACCACACATTTCTCCCTCCCTCCCCCACTCCCTCAAGGTTAACTCATAGGAATTTATTCTGAGGATTGGAGGTAATAGATTTAAAACCCTCACTGAAATGAAGTAGCTGAGGAAGGACCAGGAATACAGCCAGAGCTCGATCAAGACCTGGCTTTGCCAATAATGGCTCGAAGGGGAATAGAAATAAATAAATAATATATAATGATACAATATAACAAAAAGGTTTAAAATAATGTAGTTAATCAGTAGTTCAGGCTGTACATATAACTTAGAGCAACATTTTCTCAAAAAGTAGTTATTAAATTTATTATAAATAGTTATAATTTAGTAAAAAGAGTAGTTCTTATAGGAAAATAATAACAGTTTATAAATTTCACATAGACCTATTTATAAAAATAAGTTTATTAATTGTGTTGTTTATAAGAATTTATTTCTTATGCAATTAATTATGGAATATGCTGTTGGAATTCTTACAAATTGTAATAGGCACAGTAGCTTTTATAAATATTAACTTACATTATTTTAATGGCATTAAATGGGCTTAGGATGAAATGAAATAAGACGATTCTGTTTCTTAAGTTTCTAAAAGTAGTAGACATATTTATAAATTAATAAATTGGATAATTGTTGGTAAAAATAATATTTTTTCATACTCATAATTAAGTGAAACATAGTGATTTGCCGTTCAATTTTGTTTCTCTTCAAACTTTACAGTTATTTGATTATTCAAACTAAAAGAAATAAAAATATCAATCTGACTAACCCACTGCTGTTTTACAGCCAAGTTATTATTAAAGATATTTTGTTTACATCTGAATAAAAAGTTAATATTTTCATATAAATTTCATATTAGGTTGAGTACTGAAGGTTATATAATAAAAAGTGACTTGTGTTTAACTAAGATAAATAACTTTGTTTGGGAATAAATCAACAGTATTTTCTGCAACTGGTAGCATCTGTTGTTAACCTGTTATACAACTTCTTTATAATAAGAACAAGAATAAAATACAATTTTAATTCTCAATAACCTTTTTATCATTCACTCTCAGGGTATGGTGCTTGAATATATTTCGAAACTCGTTTTATTTCGCTACAATATTTTATGAGTGACAAGAGTATGATAAAACAAACTATATTTATGTTTCTTTATGTACTTCTTAAATCAAACTATATATATTTTAAGGTTTTTTTTTTTAATTTACTGATTAGCACTATTATTTTGTATTAGGTATGGTATCTATTATTCTGAGACAGCGTTAAGAATTAAAATTAAAAAAATTTTATGCAACTATTACTCTTTGATGTATATATTTCAAAACTTGTTGTTATTTTACTACAATATTTTATGAGTGACAAGCGTGCGATAAAAAAAAACTATATTTATGTTCATTTAAGTACTTCTTAAATCAAACTAGCACCAATTATTCTGAGATAGTGTTAAGAATTAAAATAAAAAAAAAAATAATAATGCTAATTTTTAAATATTTTAGTAAATTTAAAAAAAAAATATCATTAATGTAACTAAATGCTTCTATAAGTATCATTTGAATGATTTTTGAAATGACGTCATATTTTGTTTCCCACAAAACTTTTGTAATTGATATGGTTCAGAGATCAACACCTGAAATAAGGAAAAAAACTAATGAAAACAATTCTACATAATTCAGAACTTCACCACTATTTTGTGGCCTCCATTTTGCTGCAAACTATTTCTGTTAAGTTAATCCATTCATTGGTGAAGTGTGCACATTCTCATTCTGTTTGACTAGAAATTATAACAGAAATAAATAAATGAGTTGCTAAACCTTATGAAAACAGCCTGGTGGAGGAAATATGGGGAGGAAGAAGAGGAGGCCAAAAGCATGAAGCTCAATTTCAGACCACTAGTGAGTTCTAATTAACCACCAAATTTTATTTAAAAGCAAAATGACTTCCAACATTACAATGCCATACTACAAGATTGTAATTTCACAATCAGCAATATGTGCTTCATCTGTCAAGAACCACAAAATTGTACAAGAGCACAATTTTATTTCTTTTGTGTTTTTATTCAATTATATGCTATATAATCATGTTCTCAATCTTTTGTTTAATTTAATCGTGTATTAAATTTCAGTGACACAACCTCATACAGTCCGCACCACTTCTCACAATAACTAGAGCAACATAATTCAATTACAGATCAATGGGTAATATTTGGTTCACACAAAATTACCATGATCAAACAGATACATTTCTATTTAATTGACGATTTCTATTTAATAGTTATGGGAAAGAACTAATATGTGAGGTTATGGGTTTCGTATAAGTCAGTGCTCACTACCTCGTCTCTAACATCTTTACCTTTTAATAAGCTTGTCAAGTTAGGGACCTCAGCCACTTACCTCTACCACCTTCTTAAATGTTTACAAGATATATGATAAAACTACACAAATCACTGGATAGCCTCTGAAATAAGTAGATAACTTTGATTACTTAGGTTCATCTCATTTATTATTTGATGTTAAATAGAGTAATTTAAAATAGATACAATTTTTTTAAAATTTGCTAAATATTGTATGGAAATTCAATTATATGATTATACGATCATGAACTTCATAAAAATCAGATGTATACTACACTGCTGTAAGACTTGTGGGAGACGAAAGTTAAGAGAAATGATAAAAAAAGTTTACAAAAACTATGAAATTTAATTAATAACTTGTCTAAATTGTACCTCAAAGTAATAAAAGTAAAATAAAATAATGAAAATGATAGTTTGGGGATGATGGTTTATGAAGTGGGTAGTGAATAACTGAAGAGAAGGATGGCTATTTTATTCCCCGCAACGTATTGAACTTAATTATATTAATTAGGTACTTTTTAGGGGCGGAATGAACAAGTGGGTTAATGCGTGTGCAAAATACACATTGCCCGGAAGCCTGGTAAACCGAAGTTTATATGATAAATAAGTACCACAGAGTCGAGGGAGAGGAGAGGTTTACTTTAGCATTTATCCCCACCAATAAAAAGGCGAGAAAGAAGTGGTCTAAAAACAAAAAAAAAAGGTGACAGGATTTGGTATTTAAATTCTACCGCCTAAATTATTTCTGATTTTTATAGATACTATAAAAACTAAAGACTACATTGCTGTAGGACTTGTGGGAGCCGAAAGTTAAGAGAAATGATAAAAACAGTATACAAAAACTATGAAATTTAATTAATATCTTGTCTAAATTGTATCTCAAAGTAATAAAAGTAAAATAAAATAATGAAAATGAGAATTTTTTGATGATGGTTGAATGAAATGGGTAGAGAATAAGTGAAGAAAAGGATGGTTGGGTTGATCAGTCAAAATAAAATAGTAAAATAAATAATTGTATTTTAAGTTCAGGCCTTCATCGGGGCTGCTCTATCCACAATCTATAGACAGACCAATACATACATATATATATATATATATATTTTAGTATATATATATTTATTTACTATCAAAAGTTCCTCCTCAACAGTTAAATATAAAGATACACTTTAAAATCTCTCTAGGCATATATTTAGATATATATATATATATAGCTCAGAGATTGGAGTTATGTGGTTTACAAAAACAGATGGAGTAACCCGTTGATATAATTAAGGTTTACTCCATTATAATTATTAAGTTAAATAAGGTTTTTGTTATTATAATCGTCTTAATGATTTGTTAGGTGTAAGCTTTGAGCTGTAGGTCCGTCAAAAATGCACTTCAAAAATTTTATAATAGCCCAAATTTGCCAGAAAATAATTTCTATTCAAAGTAGAGCAGTTAGTGAAAGTTGTGTGTTGAGCGCACCAGAGTTTTTTCTTTATATCAATGTCTCTTGCTCAATCTCCACTGGTTTTATATCATTAGTATAAGTTATGTGGATGAGAAAATAGCGCAGTAATCTCCTGAATAGTTTATTTTACTTTTTCCTCTCTAGATGGAGGGACAATCCCCTAATCGTAAATAGTGTCTATAGTATGTTTATAATATTTTACTTTACTTACCTTTAAGTTAATTTTATTTGTATTTATTGTATATACCTTCTGATTATTATTTAGTTGTAATTTTGTTTCTGTTTTATTTTATGTGCTTATGTGTTCTGTAAATACGGTTTGAATGTACTCTTTATTCACTATAACAATTATCCATATTGTGACACAATGTTATTTTACTGAAAAAAAAATGATTTTTTTTTTTCATCGCCTTATTTTAAATTTTTGGGGGATTCAGAATTTTCTTGGAATAGAATAATATTTCAATCGCCAAAAACTATTTGCCCCAACAAGTACTATACTGTATATTTAGGAGGAGAGAGGAACACTACAGAAAATGAGGAAAAATACAGTTTGATAATCAGTTATAAATGTTTTATTCACTAATTGAAAAATAAATTATTTTAAAAAAAAATTATGGGGCAAAGGTAAATGGTGGTGGGTCTGGAGTTGAAGCAACCAACTTCTCCAACCAGGAGATGACATCGGCCAAAGTGTGCCCAGCCAGGAGCTTGTTGGAGATGTTCTTGACGTGCTCAGCGGTGTGCTGCTCGACGAACTGCTTGTTGTCGGTGATGTATTTCATGAACTGCTTGTTGAGCAATTCGTTGACTTGGTCTTTGGTCAGTCCTTCGATGTTGAGTCCCTCAACATTTATCTGAGGAAGTCAAAATTCGTTAAGAAATGAAGGCATCGAATAAGTTATAATTTATTATTTAAGTTATTCCTTTTAAGTCACCTTATAGCTTCCAATGCTGAAGTCCAAGACTAGGTCCTTGACTTGGATAGAGTGGTCCACAATACCAAGTTGGAGATTGCCGGACTGAACGAAATTGGAGACGTCGAGCCTAGGTAAATATTATTGTTATTAGTTTTAGAATTTTACTATTTTTCATTGATTACTTAATTAAAATTACAATTGTACATGTTAACATATTTAATATAATTTCAAATAAATTTATTATGATATGATATATCATGTATAAGAAAATGGCAGAGGGAAGATTCTGGAAAATCGGAGTTAAACATACAATTAATGTTAAGTCATTATTAGAAAACTTTTTTTTTTGTTTTGGCATTGCAGACCATGTTGATCTTTTGCTGCCTTTACAAGCCTGCTCCATCTCTGTCTGTCTTGGACTATTTTATCTTTGTAGATTTTATCTATACATATTCTTTTTGGCCTGCCACGTGCTCTTTTGTCTTATATTGAGTCTATCTTTTCAATAAAACTCGTTATCAGTTGGTTTTCGACACTACTTCTACCCTTTTCTCCTCTCTAACACGGAGTTGCGTTACGATACAATTTTGAATGATAGCCTAGTACAGGGAGGATGGAATGCTGAACAATTCCATCGCTTAAAGTATGCAGGTCCGATTTCTATTTCTAGTTTCTGAGATATTTTAATCCAAATCTTAAAGTAGAAAAGAACCTTCATTTTAGAGACTGTGGTTCGAATTTTTCCAATTATAACCTAAATCGATTTTCTCTCTCTTGGAGAATTTTTTTTTTAATCGTTTACATTCATATAATTAATCCTTGCCGGAAGATCAGGATAAGCAAGGTTTAACTGTATTTAGATATAATAGTTTATGCATACAACTACAAGCGAATTCAAATTATGTATTCCCAAACATCTTTAAAAAATAAAATAATAATAAAATTTGTTTTAAATTAGTCTATTTTTACTTTAGTTTCCCCATAAATGAAATATATACCACGTAGAGAAAATTAATTAAAAATTTTAAACCCCAGTTTTCAATGAAAATGCATGATTTGAGTCCTATAATAATCAAATTTCGCAAAGTGGTCTGTGGATGTTTGTGAGCAGGCTAGTTTAAAAACGAAATTTAATTACGTATTTAGGGTATGCTATGCCTGGGATATAACAACTCTTTCTTTTAATTCGGCTAACCAAAGGCGTCATAATTTTTAGCCCTATATTTATGCCTGAACTAGTAAAATATTGACCGAAACGTTGATGTTTGGAAGCCCAAGGCTTAGATTTTTTAATCTTTCAATAATACGCTATTAAATATAAAAACTCTCTTTCAACAATAGCCCACTTATCCCTCTTGAAAAAATCCGGTTCGATTTCCTAGGACTCCACCTGTACAAACGATTCACTTGGAACCCCCATACCAGACTGAAACGACTAGAAACCACCCGACGTTTTCGACTACTGCAGCTCTTAGTAGACAAACGTTCTAAACTTCCAACTATTTACAAAAGACTCATATATATTACTATTATAAGGCCTATTTGGACTTACGGGATCGAACTTTGGTGCTCTACTAAACCATCAAATTCCTCTCGTATCTAATCCCTACAATCCAAAATCCTTCGTAAAATCCTTAATGCTCCCTACTTTGTAACAAATAAAATCATCCATAACGACCTTAATGTACCATAGTTTCCGATTTAGCTCAATACAGATACCTATTTTTCCATAATAAACTTCTGAACCATCCGAACCCTCTTGTTTCCAACCTTGCTTCCTCTTCTATCCCTGATAACTCTCCGAGGCGTCTGAGAAGAAGATGGCCTCGGGACCTTCTAATATAGTAATATAATTGGAGTGCTAAGCAGTGGTTAGTTTCTCTTTATGTTGTACATTTCATGTTACTTGTTCAAATTTACTTGTTGTATTTATCATTTATACAATTGTAAATTTCAATAATATTAAAAAAAAAATAAAAACAAAATTCAAAATTATACTTACGAGAAAGTTCCAGAGCCTTCGACTTTCTTACCCCAGGCAGTTCCAGTGACCTTGTAGTTTCCTTCTTGATGGTTTATAGGGATGCTTACCTGGAAGCTGGATTTCAATGAAAGAGTGTCAGCCTTGATAGAATCGATTTTGAAATCAGTCGATTTGGATACCTCAACGTTACTTGCCGAGAATACTAAGCTGAAATATACATGAAGTTGTTTTTATATTTGAAGAAAAAAAACAAAAAGTATTTATGGGTTTCTAAATTAAAACTTACTCAATATCGGTGTCAACAAGATGTTGATCTGGCATGCTCGGTAAGGTGTAAGGGTCATGTTTCTTCATCAAGAAGCGGACATATTCAAGAGCTCCAGTAATAAGATCTTCCAGGTGGTTACCTAGAAGTCTTACCTCTGAAAATAATACATAGTAATAAATAAATAAATAATAGATCAATAATAAATAAGAAATTAATGTTAAGTAAACCCGAAAACCACATGACGAAACCACATATCGTTGTTTACAAACTTTCCATCAATCACCGTTAATCACCACTAACACAGTTTCCTTCTCCCTCTCCCTGCCTACAGTAATCAACTTTATTCTTTAAACTTAATCATTAAATCCTTGGATTCACAGACTATATAGCTGTTCTTGCAATCAATCAAACTAGATTTGAGATACATAGACTCTGATAAGAGAAACAAGGAAAATTATCCTACAAATAAATAAAGATAAAACAAAACATATGATAATAAACCGAAAATCCTACCTCAACAGCAGATTTTGCGTAGAAAGGAAATCGTTCAGGAGAGTAAAAAAATTAAAATATCTCGGCTCCACCACAACCTCAATGAATGATCAATGACAAAAAGTGGACCAGCGTTTAAACAAGTGCAAACTGTGTATTTTTCTTATAGAATAGAAACACGCAGAATAAGTGCAGTTCTAGAGAACTGCTTACAGAAACTGATCAATCATTATCTCATGATATGAAGGCAAGGAAGTTAAGGTTCCCAGGCTTGAAACTTGGTATAATCCATCTGAAAGCCTTTACACATAAATTAATTTCTCAATGATGGAACCAACAAAGATGTTGTACAGTGGCAAGCAGTAAATACAGTGTTAAGGTGGAAAAATATGTATAAGTTCTGAAGCCAACAGAAAAAAACATAATCAAATTTGACACCATGATAAGAATTTTTCCTTCGCTCCCATATGATTATTTCTTTTTTTCTACCATTTCATCCTGCATCATTAAACTATATGGTGCAAATGATTTTGTAATATTGCTTTCTCCATCTTGAAAGGTTAGTAATTTTCGGTGAAGTATGTTCTATACATACTTATTTTAAAGGGAATCGAGGAGAAGACTTTAGCCAAGTTTTGTTGAAATTGGTACCAATCGTTTAGGCGCTACAGTCTGTACCAAGAAAGGTTTATCCATCGCCATCTTGAAAGGAAAAGGTGGATAGTAATGTCGAGGTTGCAGGATCATCGTTGGATGACCTCAGACTTTGATTCAAAATCTGAAAAACATCGGTTCAGTAGTTTCTGATAAAAATGGCAGATGGCGGACAGACTACATTTTTTTTACTCGATTTTCTAGTTCTACGTATCTTGAAACATGAAATCTCAAATTTTGGGAAGTGTGAAGTTTTTGGTCAATTACAATGGTTATGTATTGAAAATATTAAACTAAAATATAGTAGTCATATAAGTCAAACGAATATTCAGTAAAACGAACAGTAACAATAATTGGTGTATTTAGTTTTACAGTATACACATGTTCGTCCAACAGGATCACGTCATCAATTAACTCAAGCATGGATTTTGTACTAACTAGAATTAAATCTTCTACCATTTGCATAACGTTTATAATTAGACATTCTAATTCTGAATAAAGTAATAATCCCTTCAGAACAGAACTCGAACTTCTGAGAGTAATAACTACCAATTCGAACTTCATTCGGTAATGATTATTTCCTCAAAAATATTTAAACGTATAACACCATCAAACATATGTACTTCTTCAAACCTCCATGTAATGTTAAATTAATAATTCATTGAACTTACCGTATATTTCTGCAGCTGACGAGGCAGCCACGAGGAGGAATAAAGCCAAGACAACTTTCATTTTGAGGTGAATGCTCATTCCAAGAACGTTTCTTCATTTTATACATGTTCTTATCTAAACCTCTCCTCCTATCACATTTCTAAGTAACGAAATTATCGATGTATATTAATATAATCATATAAATTTGACTTTTTCAATTAATTATTTCGATTTATCAAACTCAATTAGTTGAAGAAGTGCCGATTTGTTGATTCAGGTGAGAGCGGATAAGATCACTTGAAAAGGTTTAGGCATTAAATTTAACAAGACGTGTGCCAAACTCTTTTTATTTTTGGATATTTGGGGGAAGTCTACTTGACATGACTTAGTTTGTTCATAAATTATTTAATTCACATGTATTAATAAATTATAGACATGTTCTAACTAGCGAATAGGGCTATGTATTGTATTGGGTTGTCAAATAAGCCCTTTCGGTTTTTCAGGATGAAATAAAACTCAATGTTTTATATACATAAAAGTCATTTTAATCTACATTATATTGACCATTTTTAATATGACTTTTCCCCATCTTTCCATTAACTGCATAATGCTAGTAAGAGATTTTTGATGTTCTCTTCCTTTTGGAATTTCTTTTCAGCAGAGGTAGTCACTTGGAGCTAGGTCTGATGAATAGGGAGGTTGGGGCAAAAGGTCCCAATTCAAGGCTCAATAATTTATTGCTAGTGATCAATGATGTGTCTTGGTGGAATACAACACCCGTTTGATCATTTACAACTCTTCAGGATGTTCTTAAAATTTGATGTTACTATATCCGTTGGAAAGCTGAATTATTGCTCTTCAAAGCCGTATGAATGGTTTTTTGATTTAATTCCTACATAAGGAATAAATAAACAAAAACTCCTTATAGGTTTTTATTTTTTATCTCCATTTGTAGTTTGTTTGTGAAAGCCCTGTTGATGTCATTTTGTGTAGTTTATGTGGGCTCTAAATTCTTGCTAAACGTCTTGTAGATAGCTAAAGTTGTATTGAAGTTATAACATTTTTTGTATTTTCGAGAAAAAAAATCATCGGGGGATCTAAACATTAACCCTAGAACTTGTACAAATGGTTTTCTAAGCTATTGTGCGACGCATTTAGGGCCATAACAATCTCTCGCCAGGATTGGATGGAATTTCGATCAAAAATGACCTTAAAATTACTAGTTTCAATTTCAAGTTAGCAGCCAGACCGTTGAACATCATTGATGTAAAAATTTCCTGAAAGAAATTTGGCAAACAAATTTTGACAGGTGCGTTCGGTTCCCATAAACACTGCAAAGTTTTCAATGAGCTTCTGCAGCTTGCTTACCTTTTTTAAAATAATACAACAATATATGCCAATAATGAATGATATTTTCTTCCATATTCACAGTGCAATAGCAAAAATCTGGTGCGCGCAACACACAACTTTCACTTACCGATCTACTTTGAATAGAAATTGTTTCTGACAATGCTTGGCTATTATAAATTTTTTTGAAGTGCATTTTGAACGGAGCTAAAACTTAAAGCTTACAGATAACTAGTCATTAAGACCATTATAATTACAAAATGTCTATTTAATATATCGACGACATGCAATAAAAATCTAGCCACTCCATCTGCTTTTATAAACCTTTCTTAACTTATAATTAACTTTCTTTGCTTTTACAAACTTCGGAATGACTATCTCCAATTTCAATATTTTTAAGGGATGTCATTTTAGTGATATTTTTGATGACTCAAATTATTCAGTGAACTTCCGTGAGTGTTTTGAAATAATGTGAGCTCAAATTTCTGTCATATTACTGCGTGAAGTGTGCTTAATCAATCTGCTGAAAATTATGTAAAGATTTTTTAAGTGTATAACGTTATCGATTTTTAACTTTGACGGCTGTAATTACAAGAGAATATATTGAAACAATTTGAGCTCAAAATTGTTGAAACACAAGAGCTGAAAACAATTTTATTTTATTTTTTAATAGTTTAAGTATCTCGATTATTAATTAATTTGAAATTATATCATGTAATGCGATATGAAAATGAATTGTTGTTATTTTAAAAACTAAAAATGTAAAAATATTTGAATTAAAAAAAAACCAATTACGAAAATTGTGAAATTTTATCCACCGTGAGGAAATGTACTTTTATATTTACTGAAAAATCTTTATAGATTATACGATTAATTAAACATGGTGTATTAGTCGGCCGACATACTGTTATATTCCGTTTTTCAGATATCTTGCCTCAATTGAAAGTTTTCCTAGGTTTGTTAGGATTCTATCCCTTTTAAAGCCCGTCAGCTTCTAGTTTCCTGCCTTATTTTTCCCAACTTCGATTATTGCTGCCTTATATACGGTGGACTGTCTAGTGGATTTGAGGATAGATTGCAAAGGCTGAGTTGAGTATTCTGAGTTGAAGTAGCTATATCCAGTTTCTCGACGGCAATATTTCCTAAATCTATTCAGTTTCCGAATCTTTACAACTAGAAAACCTTCATATTTTATTTACTTTTTTACTCCATGTTCCTCTATCCATAGCTTCAACACGAGATCCCAGCCCACAAAACTGTATATTCCTTCTCATAAGACAGTGTATTTTGAAAATTCCTTTATAATGCTTGCTACCTTGTTTTGTATTTAGTTACCCACCACTATATGCAAAACCTCATTGATTTCATTTGAAAACCAACTGTTTCTCCATCTCCTCAGCCACCAGTCTTCCGAATATTTATAAGATTTAAATATGTTATCAATGTGATTTTAATGTTAATTTAAACATATTATTTATATTGCGTAAGAATGTAAACAAACCAATATCAATTCACCTATAATTCCATCGTATTATGTGTATATTAAGAATACCTCTTTATTTTAATTTCAATGTCACACAACTCTGTAACCTAATTATTATTTGTCAGTCGTTATGTGCCAGACTAGTGTTGCAGAAAATCGGTCTTGGTCTTCCACTTTGCAAAACCAAGACCAAGGGCGCCGAACTGTTGCAAGACCAAGACCAGGACTGGTAAAAAAAATCGATTTTTTAAATAAAAATTAAGGTAAAATAGTTACTAATACTCGACAATCTTAGTTACTATACGTTAATAATTGGTATAACCAATACACTTTTGCATTTAACTCCTCTAATTTTTCATTCGGGCTTAGTTAGGTTTCTCCTATCTAAAACATTACAGTAATATCTCTAAGGTAATAAGCTAATAAGTAACTGCAAGACTGTTGCGAGACTCTTGCGCAAGACCAAGATCATGACCAAGACCAAGACTCGTCCCGGTCTCGCATTTGGGCAACACTATACCAGACACATCTATATTATAGTGTAATTATCATTGTACATGGTTGTAATTGTTATATGACTAAAAGTCCCAGAATAAGATTTACTTTCTTTCTTTCTTTTCATTTGTCTTTTCCCACCATTGTGTATGTGGACGTGCATTGTGCATGCGACGTATGTGGATCTTTTTGGATGTCTCTTATGTTCGTGAGTTGCATGGCAAAATGGGCTTAGGTAAATGTTAGTTTTCAGTTTCTGTTTTAGTTTTAATTTATAAAATCGAAAGTCTATTTAACGTTTTTCTTTTGCAGTTGATATATGGACTTAACGTCACTCTTACGTCAAATATCAGTCCATCATATGATACTTTGTCTGTTTGGAGAATTTTGAATTTGCTGAGGTAAAGTAAATAGGAGGGAAAATTTCAAGTGGAAGTGTGAAAGTAGTGGGTTGGGATTTGTCTTGGTTGAGTTTAATTTTCTAAAGTTTACATCAATCATTTTATATTTAGTTTTGTAAGGTGATGTAAAGTCTACAGCCGTATGTATATTTTTTTAGAACTGTATCGTCTTCGTTATACGTTCTCATGTACAATCAGAATTGTATGTATTAAATGAAATAAAATGAAAAAATAATTTTATTATGGGACGACAGTTCCCTGAGAATAATAACAGTGTTAAACATTTATGGGTCTTAGTCTAGCTTAGAATATTACAAAATACAAACTAATTAATTGCAATTTTGCAGTTGATTAAATTTAACAGTACACAGACGCAAGTAATTTTACATGTTTGTATGTGGAGTAGGTGTTGGAACAGGAGTTGTTTGAAGGAATTCGCGGGCAAGGATTAATGTATGGAGGTAGGAAGATAGTTCCAAAAGAAGGTAGTACGAATGACAAAGAATTTGCTGAAGGAAGTAGTTTTATGGGAAGGGATATATAAATCTATTGGTTGATAACTGGTATTAAGAGAGTGGATAGGGGATCGTAGAGTAAGGAGTTCCTGGATGTTGGGAGAGTTTTTGGTTCTGAGGACTTGGAAAATTAAAACACCAAGGAGGAATTGTCGTCATGAAGTAGGATAAAGCTACTTCAACTCGGTGTACCAGAATGAAACATGAGAACGACTGGGGTTCATGAGTCTCTTTAGTCTCATTTCTATCCTGGCAGTTAGTGTTGCCCAAATGCGAGATAGAGATAAGTCTTGGTCTTGCAAACTCTGTCTTAGTCATGGTCTTGGTCTTGCGCAAGATTCTCGCAACAATCTTGCAGTTACTTATTAGCTTATCACTATGGATATATTACTGTAATTTTTTAGATAGGAGAAACCCAACTAAGCCAGAATGAAAATTTAGAGGAGTTAAATGTAAAAGTATATTGGTTATACCAATTAATAACATATAGTAACTAAGATTGTCAAGTATTAGTAACTATTATGCCTTAATTTTTATTTTAAAAAATCGATTTTTTTTTACCAGTCGTGGTCTTGGTCTTGCAACAGTTAGATGGCCTTGGTCTTGGTCTTGCAAAGTGCAAGACCAAGACCGATTTTGGGCAACACTACTGGAAGTTAGCCCTCCATACGCCAATCAGCCTTAGTCGATGTGGAGGAATGTAAGGGAGGTTACAAGGAGTTGTCTGGTTTTTAGAGGAATATAATCACGGAATTTTAGGAATTGTTTAAGGAGAGTAGTGGATTTTCGGGTAATATGGTTATTCCAGGAGAATTTCTGGTCAAAGGTTACTCCTAGATTTTTGACTGCAAGGAAAAATGGATGAGACGATTATTGAGGTGAAGTAGAGGAAAGTAAGGAAGAAAACTAATGAGATGTCATGTAAATGATATTTATTAATGAAGCGAAAAATTACTCCTGAAGAGCTCCTGCTAGAGCTGTACTAATAGAAGAAAGTTCGGTACCTTGATAGACAGAGAAATATCTATCAGAAAAAAATTTTGTTTGAGCATTTTCGAAAATTATTAATTTCCCCAAATGTTTTAGTACAGGTGTCTTTTATCAGATTTTATTATTCAGAAGTTATAATTCTTTAAAACTATTACCTAATTTATATATGTGAATACTTCTTGAAGCATATATAATCTAAGCAATGCCAATTACGTCATTATTTACTTGAAAATATTTCTAGATTAAATAAACACTATTAAAAGTAATACAACTGTAAAAAGTTGTAAATTAGATAGGCAGTCTCCTCCAATTCATAAATATGATTCAAAATGTTTCGTTGTATATTTACCGAATATTTTAAATGAAAATAAAAATAAAAGAAAAAAAAAAGAAAGGAAAGAAAAAAGCAAACAATTTTTAAGAAGTATTACTTGAGATCTAATCTGTTGATATTGGAATTTTTGAAAACATTTCAAATTTTATTTATAACGATGAAGTTAGTTTTTTTTGGCATAGTTAACCGATAACTATCTTATCTTTTAAAACTTTTTTTTTACACTAGAATAATCTCTATAAGTATTAAACATGTACTTCTAATTTTTTTTTGTGTACTCTGATGGAGAATAATTAAGATGCCAGGTCATGGTATTTGAAACAAATTAAATTTTTTTTTCAATTCAAATGTTTCTTATGTTATCCACAGGTGTGTTTCATTCCTCACCAAACCTAATTAATGATATTTATACACAATCACAACTATACTCTCAGCGTGAGTTATATAATTATTGATGTAAAATATGGTATTAATAAATTCTTTTCTAAGTTATATTACTCCATGAAATAAAATATATATATATATATATTTTTTTTATAACAAAGTGTTTATCGATTTATAATGATATTAGGTATTTATTACCTAATTAAATCATAAAATTATGTTTTAGTTAAATAAAAACTTCATTTTTTGAGTTATTTTTTTCCTACAGTTCTTTAAAAAAATATGTGATACGAGAATAGCCCAAGGCATTGGGAGTTCAGTTTAATTTTCCCCATTCATAAAAAAGGTAGCTCCATAGATTGTTAAAACTCACCAATTGTGAGATTGAAGTAAGCATACTTGCAGTGCCTTACAAACTATACTCCTCAATCTTAGAAAGAAAATTAAGGCTCGTAGTTGAGAACCAAATAGAGAGTGAACAAGTAGACTTTCGTCCGGGGAGACAGATTCAAAATCACA